CCCCCCCCCCCCCCCCCATCATATACATACTCGCCCTCTTACCCTTTCCTTCCTCCCATCTGTCATCTGCATGCTGTTTTCTTATTCCTTATTCTTCTTTCTCAAATTCTCAGGTGATTCTTAGTTTCACCGCTTCCGCGACACTATGTATTTGATTTTCTAGTCCAACGCTACTCGCTTATGGAATATCTTCTATACACCTTAACCCTTTGCGGTCCAGGCAAATAGTCACCCAAACCTTTTTATCGTTGCGGACGAGTGTCGGAAAATAGCCACCCAATTCTGTTTACAACTGCGGAGACGTATTATAAAGCAGCTCGTGTATATTTGTCCTTTTGAGTGATAAGATACGAATGATTATAGTATACTAAACAAATAAATGATGAGAAAATCAAAAGAAACACAATACAAAAAAATGATTGCATTTGCAATTTGTACGTCGCTTGGTGGATCAATTAGTTGATTTTCGTAACGCTAATCCCAAAAATTTTTCAATTTATGGAACCGTAGAAAGGCTGAACGGCCTTTTACATATTATTCGGTGAGATGACACAGGAAGAAGTAAGGAATGTGTGGTATGTTCCAATCGGAAAATCAAAGGTAGAAGAAGAGAATCAAGGTATTATTGTGCTACTTGTTCGACTAAACCGGCCTTGCACATAGGTGATTGCGTTGAACGATACAATATCATGCACGACTATAAAACGTGTCATACATAAACATAACATACCTAAATATGTTTTTTTTTGGATTTTATTAAAAAGTTTCCTGTATATTATTTTCCCTACTACGCGCATCAATACGTTTCGTACGCTTGTCGAGCTGCTCCGACCGCAAAGGGTTAATTTTCATTTACCCGTTTAGCCTGTAATAGAAATAGACGATTTTAATTGAAAGCGCCCCCCCCCCCCACTAAATCGTACATATACACTCGCTTATCCCCTCCTCCCCTTCCCTCCCTCTCGCTCTGTTTTAAGTTGATTTGAAGAGATTTTTCGTTCTTAATTAAAAGACGAATATGTTTCGACTGTTATTTCCCACGCTTTTTCGGTATAATCATTCTTCCTTACCTTCTGGTTCTTTGTCAACCGCGAGTTAATCGTGCCGTCAATGATAACGGATTACTGTGTATCGCCTGTTATCGTATCGTGAGCGATCGTATTGTTCGATTCTTTGAATAAATTTTCATGGTTTTTTCTTTAATTTTTCTGATATTCTGCCTGTAATGGACGTAAATGTACATATACAGATATACGTGTACTCGTATATACGTTTGTGGAAGTAGAATAAGAAGAGGATAAGTCTTATTCGATGTACAATGACTCTCTTGTTGCATTATCCTTGTCTGTTCTAGCGATGTCATATACGATACGCGGGAAACGGAAAGATGCGTGGCCGTGCGTAGGCCTGTTTTTGTCTGCGAGAGTGTGTCAACCAGTGTACGAGAAGGGACAATCCTCTCGCATATAATAGATACTTTCTTTCGATAGCATCCAGCAACATTTATTATTTTTTACGCGGAAGGGGATACATCAATGATATCGGTATGAATCGTATTTCTTTTGATCTGTGTTTCGTCATCGACAGATTTTCCTGTTTGTCGAAAATGATCGTTGATAAAGATACATCATCGAGGAAAATGCGTCGAAAGTCTGGAGTACTTAGCGGTTAAGCGATGAATCGCTCGATCGTGTAACTGCAAATTATTACGGTTGGTGATAGAGCAACAGGTCGTTGTTTCCAGACGCGCGGTTCCCTTCGTCGCGCGTGTCCCGCCATGTTTAAACTATTTTTTGCGTACTCTATTATACGGATTATCGAATTGAGCAACATTCTCGATTAATGTCACTATCGAGTCAATAGTTGTTACCCGTTATGCACGTTTTAAAAATATTTCATATCGTAGTGTCCCGCATAGTATGACACTTGCCCCTTGGTACGACAATAGATTTTATATTTATTTGTTCCATTAAAATTTTATCGCATAATTGAATAGAATTTAAGCGCCATCATCTTACACTCCGTCTGTCTCGCTCTTGCTCTCTCTTATAGTACGAAAAATGATATTCCATATTGAATTGCTTCTTGGCAAGATTTTGTCATGTAATTACATAAAACACAAAATGAAACAACAATCGATCAAATTTATCGAGTTTTCGATCTTTTAACGATTACAGCGACCGATAAAATGATCTCTAATGTAATTATTTAATTGCTTCGATATACGTATTTGATTCAGACGATGAACCCAACAAAATTATTAAAGTGTATTATTTATATTTTCGATTTGTAGTTGCCAGCTCCACTACCGATTTGCAGGGAATGTCTTGGCGCGACGATAGCCGGAAACAACAATACGAAGCGTACTATCACCGAAAAGTTGAGCAGATGTAGTGTATGCGGCGCGGCTTTGCACAATTCTTGCGCACCACCGGAACTCTCGATCCTCGTTGATCGTGGCATAACCTGGTCCTGCGACGATTGCTCTCCAACGTGCGCT